AGCTAAAAAAGGTAAAGCATTAATGAAATGTGGCAAAAGACACTAGCTAAAAGTGGATAAATGCTAGCTAAACATGGAAAAACCCTAGCTAAAATTGGTAAAACACTATCTAAATGTGTTTAAACACTAGCTAAAAGCACTTAAATGCTAGCTAAACATGGCAAAACACTAGTTAAATTGGTAAAAACCCTAGCTAAAATTGGTAAAACAGTAGCTACAATTGGTAAAACCCTAGCTAAACTTGGTAAAACCCTAGCTAAAATTGTTAAAACCCTGGCTAAAAGTGGCAAAATACTAGCTGACTGGCAAAACACCAGTTAAAAGTGGCAAAAGACTTGATAAAACTGATAAAACTTCAGCTAAATGTGTCTAAACACTAGCTAAAAGTGGTTAAATGCTAGCTAAACATGGCAAAACACTAGTAAAATTGATAAAACCCTAGCTAAAATTGGTAAAASMSTASCTAAAAYTGGTAAAACCCTRGCGAAAAGTGGYAAAATACTAGATGACTGGCAAAACACCAGTTAAAAGTGKCAAAAGACTTGAWAAAACTGATAAAACATTAGCTAAATGTGTCTATAYGGTAATAAAAACGGTAAAACATGAGGAGACCAGGTGCTGAGGTCACGTCAGAGGGCAGGAACATGGTGAAGAGTGAGTTTCCTCTCTGATGCTCCTCAGAAACATTAAATTAACTTCATCAGCTCAATATTTGATCAGTTAGGATTTGAATGAAAAAGATTTTGAAGCTCCTCAAACAGCTCAGATTTCATGAAGTTCTAAACAGCAGCAGCTCGGTGAGAAACCACCTGAACTGGCCTATAATTAAGTCGGCAACCGGAGTGTCAGCTGCCATTCGGTCCCCCCCCAGGACCTCCACTGGTTTCATCATCGTCCTCCCAGCTGCTGCACACTTGTTGTGCTCTGAAGTTTAAGAAGCGGAGCGGCAGATCGTGGCTGCACTCAGCCGGGACGCTCCTCCACGAGCCTCTGATTCTCTCCTCACAGCTTTGGTTTCAGGTCTGCTGGTTTTGTGGAACTGGGAGCGAGCCCAACACCTCCRGGCTGAACCTGCCTGTTCACACAGGAGGTGTGTGAGGGATTCAGCTGGAGGACATTAACTCATGGAGGTCTGACGGCGTTATCAGCTCCTCTGTTCGGGTTCAGAGAGGTTTCGACAGCCCCCCCACCTCTCCCCTCCACTCTGTCAGTCCTGACAGAGAGATGAGGTGACTTCATCCCTTCTTCTACCAAACCCTCCTCCTGGTTTCCTCCCTCCTCCCTGTACATTTTGTGTAGCTGAGTCAGGAAGCATGCCAGCAGTCTTCCTCCTGCTGCATTCCCTGGTTCTCCGGCTGCTGGGCAGCAGACTGGCAGGCTCTATGGCTCGGACCCTCAGGAGAAGCCTGTCCACGGGTGCTGCCCACCTCGGCRCAGCTCTGAGGCACGTCTGGGAGCGAGTCCGGTCCCAGGAGTCGAAGGAAGCCGTTCTGGGCTGTGTGCTGTGCATTCTCAACATGCACAAGAAGGTGGAGAACTGAGTGGTCCGTACAGTTTGTGATCGTTTGGACTTTTTGTTTCGGTCATGTCTGAGAGCGCCGTGAGGAAGGTGCAGCCCTTCACCATCGGGACCAGACTCTCGGTGCCCCCCGGGACCAAAAGCCAGGAGTTTCCTCAGGCGTTCCTCCCCGCTGAGACTCTAGACAACTGTGTGCTGCAGCGCAACCTGAACTCGCTCTACCTGCGCCGGTCCCAGCAGGTCCGCGGTGCACCCAATCTCGGCCCCCCGGCGKTCGAGCAGGCGGCCCCCACGAGGAGCGAGCAAACGTCGGCCGAGGACCACCTGAACCAGAACACCGCCTCTGCTTCGGCCGTCTCCAGGTCCATCAGGAAGATCACCATCTCTGGGAGTAAAGACGGGTCGGATGAGAAGACGGCAGAGACGCTGTCCATCACCGGCTCGCCTCGTGAAAACAAAAACAACAACAACAACAACAACAACATCACCACAGGTGTGTCTGACACACGTCTGCCCAGGATCGTAGGAGTGAGCTGCGAGAACAAGCCCAACTCTGAGTTTAAGGTACAAAACACACAATAATCATCACTTTATGGTGGATAATAATTATTATTTTGTTAAATAAAATTAAAATTTCATCTCAAATCCACAAGACGCTAGCACATTAGCTAAAACACCAGCTAAAAGTGATAAAACGATAATTACAATTGGCAAAATACTAGCTAAAACACTAGCTAAAATGATTTAAAAATATTTAAAAGTGGCAAAATCACTAGCTAAAGGTGCTAAAACACAAGCTAAATTGATAAAAAAAACTTTAAAAGCTGCAAAATACCAACTAAAAGTGGCAAATACTAGCTAAAATTGCTAAAACACTAGCTAAAATTATAAAACTATTTAAAAGTGGCAAAATCCCTAGCTAAAAGTGCTAAAACACAAGCTAAATTAATAAAAAAGTATTTAAAAGTTGCAAAATACCAACTAAAAGTTGCAAAATACTAGCTAAAAGAGCTAAAACACTAGCTAAAATGCTAAAAACAACTATTTAAAAGTGGTTAAATC